GAGAGAGACCAGAGAGAGACATGAAAGAGACCAGAGAGAGAGAGACCAAAGAGAGACACCAGTGAGAGAAGAAAAACCTCCCAGCTATCCATAGTAGTAGACATATAATGCAAAAAAAGTAAATCTCAAAAGCACAACTCATCCTGTTGCATAAGTGACGTGCTCCTATTCTCTGTGTGGTGCTCGTTCGTCAGCCCCTGCTCCATCGAGTGTCTGGTTTGTAATCTCCGTCTGCGTCTGGCCTCCCGCTCGGCTCAGAGAACAGTCTTTCTGCTGTCGGTGATGGCCTAATGCCTCACACTCTGCTCCAACAGAAAGATTACAGCGGCTCCCTGCAGCGGTGGAAAAACACATTATAAATCCAGGAGCACAAATGGAGATACAGGCGATTACAGACCGGTCCAAACTAGTTTTTATCTGCGTCAGTGGCAGCCGAGATTGCATCATTAGCAGGTTGAACGAGAATGAGGATCGTACGTCTAAAGTGTCACTGGTTTGTACTTTAGTCAGGTTTAATATTAAGACATATTTTAGGTTTAATACCAACTCTCTTTGGTCTCTCTCTCTGTTTTCTCTCTTTGTCTTTCTCTGGTCTCTCTCTTTGGTCACCAACTGGTCTCACTCTGGTCTTACTATAGTGCTGTGCGGGCGGCACGGTGGTAGCACTCTCGTTTCTCAGCAAGAAGGTCCTGGGCTCGAATCCCGGTCGGAACAGGGCCTTTCTGAGTGGAGTTTGCGTGTTCTCCCTGTGTTGCGTAGGTTTCCTCCAGGTGCCTTAGCATTATTAAAGTGACGAGACGAGCCTAGCTAAGAACTGCGGTTGAATCTCAGTATTGCAGATAGTAGGATACAATAGTCAGTCAGTACAAGATAAACAAGAACTCTGAGAGGTTTTCATAAAAATAAAGCCGCAATGGGACGACAAATGAAAAAGTATCGTCTCCATGATGCATTGAGGTTCGTGTCAAGGTAATATCCCCGCTCTGTAGGCGTCTGGTATAAAAGAAACAAAGAAAATGTTGATTAGAACAGTACGAGGAGATATTAAACCACATAAATTCAGCTGTATAGAAAAGTCTACAAAAGACACACACGCACAATGATGCAGAGGGTGGCCGTGTCCCTGCTCACTTTCTTTGTCTCCGAGGTTTGCATACATCAGTTTGAGATTGGTTCAGCGGCTCCTGGAGGAGACATTCTTTGTGCTGTGGACAATAACGGGAGCTTTTATACCTCACTGTAAAATCCCTCTTATTGCCATTGCCATCATCATCATCATCATCATCATGGAAAACAGAAAGATCGTAGGTCAAATCTTTGCCTACTTATCCAATGGTGGAGATTTAGGCTAGGACCAAAATACTGTTTTAGTTTTTTACTAGTTTTATTAATATATACGGATTATACGGATTGAATCTTGAACACATGATAAAACTTGTTAATATCACTTTCACTGAAAAACTGTTTGGTGAAAGACTAAATGACAAGTTCAACTCAGGCAACTACAACCATATATTTCCATTCCAGGAATCTGTAGTATTTCTGTTATAGTTGGACAAAATGGGGCATGAATCTGATTAACATCTGCTAAAGTGGAGGTCCAGACCGGAGAAACTATGTTTGTACTCAGTCCTCCCCTCTGCCACCTCATCAGCCAACAGTCTCTCAGCTGGCTCTCATGTCGTGCAGCAGCCCTCCTCCTCCCCATTACTGCATTGTCAGCACAATCAGCTCGGCTCGGCTTTGACCAATCAGAGCTGCTGATCAGAGCAGAGCTAGAGCGGAGCCAGAGCGGGAAGGAAACGTGCAGAGTTGAAGGATTTAAGAATAAAAAAGGTTTGGGATGACAAGGCCTTTAGATGAAGGACCAAATGTCGGGAAAACCTCCTGAAGTACAGATGATGGGTGAGAAACCTTCCTTTGATCAGGGAATATAGTTCCTGCATGCGTTTAAAAAGTGTATACTAGCATTTCCTTCAGACAGGAGAGAGGAGAACATTGGATACATTTCTCACAGTCGACTTAGCGATGGCTGGTTATGATTACGGCTTCACTCAAATGCATTTTTACAGCTTTTTGATCAATGGCCCTAAGAGCGCGGCAATCGTAAACAGAGCTAGCGTGTGCATTTTTTACGGCTGGCAACCACGCCACATAAATCTGTCCCACCTGGCCTGCGATCTCTAATAGACTAATGCATCATGGTGTTTATCCAATGGTGAATTTCTATAGAGATACCGCTTTAACTTCTCACTATATTTTTTTACTGCTGTGTGTTTGAGTCCGGATTTATGGTCTCAGGTTATTGCACTTTGGAAAGAATTGGATGTCATGATTATAGATAACTGTGCATATATCTGCTGCTTTAGTTCATCCAATAAAGAAAGTGGCTTTTCACCATTCACCAGGTTCTAGGAATAGGAAAGGCTTATTCGCCAGTCAACTTGATTTTTAAGGAATTTTACTTACTCACACAAAGGTCTGAGGACAGATTCAGAGTTTATTTGCTATTTTCAGGAAAACCACAGAACTTGTGTCACATTCAAAAAGGATCATAATCTTGGACGTTCAAGCAGCAGCTGCACCTCATGATTAGTGTTGTTTTTTACTGTGTTTTCAATACATGATTACTGTGTATTGTGAAGAACAAAGGGACAGGCCGTTTGTGTCTTAGTGATGACTAGTTCAGAAGACTCTCTCTCTGGTCTCTCTCTTTTTGGCAAATTTGAGGAGGTTTTGACTTATTTCTCATCACTTTTTTCCTTTTTGTGTGCAGTCCTTTGGTTTTCTTCACACAGAACTGTGGAGACAACAGCAACTCATGACAAACAACAATTGCCTTTGTTTTTGATATGGGTCATGCCAGACCACTTACCTCAGCGATCATAACGCATTTTAATAATCTGGACTTTTTGTTCTTTCTCCAGATGTAAAACTAGCTCTTGGAGTTTCTTTCTGATTGCTCTGTCCACTTTCACTTTAGTCACTTTGTCCCAGACCCTCATGCTGCTAACATGTACAGATGTAAACATACGACTATATATTTCAGCATATACCACATTTTATACTATAGAAGCAAGTATAACATATCTAACTTTAGCATAAAGGAAGCAAGAAAAAAATCTCTAAATTTTGCATAACAAAGAAGCAAGTACAGATCAGCATTAGCATGAATTGCATACAATTTCCCACTGAGATAAGAATAAAAAGTTATCTTAATATGATTTTAGAAAGATTCAGACACTGAAACCAAAAAGCAGCAGATGAACATTGTATCTCTGCAGACTTCCTTCTGTCAGACGTGGAGTGGAGTTTGAAGGAGCTGACAAGGCTAAAAAAACGTTCAAAGTGCTTCTCGCGGCACTTTCTCACACCTCCGCATATAGAGACGGCCGCGGCTGCAGCAGCGAGGTGTTACCAGCTTTAACAAGGTTCCACTCCACAAAGGAACAGGAGAAAAGATTCAAGGCTCAGTTTAGTTGCCATTGGAAGAAAGACCACGTTGGAATAAGTGTGCAAGACATTGTGGACCAGAGAGAGAAATAAGTTTTGTGAAGTCCACAAAAAATGCTTATTGCAAGTTTAAAGAGGACATTACGAAGTTGTCGAATAGGCAGCTGATTAGAGAATCAAACTGGTCAAACACAGTAAATACGGCAATAGCAATCACATACACTGCAAAAAAAACATAAATTATGAGGTAATTATTGCTTGAATCCAATTGTTTTTGTCTTAATCCGAGCACATTCGGACTGTGTTTCATGGGACAAAGCGATTTAGTGTTAATTAAATAAATGTTACTTTATTTTTTCATTCCAAGGGAGACATTTCTTGTATCTTTTTTCAAACAAGATGATTATGTGTTGTCCCAATGGCAAATCTTGTTTTAAAGGTATATAGGAGGATATTCCTCTTCTGGGTGTATCACGAAGACTATTGGTCCTCCCAATTGTCAATCATTCCTGTGATGCGTACTCGTCAAATGATACCAGTGTTTTGTTCAAAAAGTGGAAAGGGCGGTTCTTTCCTAATATTTCGAAAATTCCTCCTTTAAAGCAGGCACAATGGTTTTTTTTTTACTGTTTAGGAGCCACAGGGAGAGGGTTGACTAATGTCCATATATACATCACTGCCCTTAGACCCTCCTGCATTAGCAAGGAACAAAAGAAGTGTGAACATTTTGAGAGACCTTGGGAAGGTCCACAATTAGATACTGGACTAACACACACACACCCACACACCCACACACACGACGCTGACTCCTCATGTTTAGTCATGACTCGGGAACCAGCAAGAGGCCCACATGGTTCTATGGCACTACGAGGTCTCACCACTTTGATCTAAGCTTCCTTGAATTTGACACGGACTTCAGGGACCATAATTATGGAGAATAGCACTTTAACCAAGGCCTTGTGTAAGACTCTTCTGTTTCTTTGTCAGATCTAATTCTTAAATAACAATAAAAAATCCCAGACCATGATGCTTTTAGCTTTATCAGAACCTGGTCCCCACCTCAACATCACACAAAGCGCCCTTTGTTCCGGCTGGTATTATCCCTGTGTGTAGCTGCTCATCTGGTGAGCACTCCTGTGTAATAACCTGATTAGAGATGTCACTCCCACTGAAGCCGCCTCCTGCTGCTCACTCCCTCATATCTGCACCTCGGCCTCTTATAACATAAATTAGCATTTTTAATCAGACCATTATCATGGGTCTGTCTTGATATTGTAACAAATGCATGTACATCTGTGTTGCCTGTGATACTCGGCCGATAGTTATTTATTCTATATGTCGTTACCTTGACATTTTTCAACTGTAACTTCCGTCTTCCGTGCCATAACATTAACATTCAGTGTTTAAAATTTGTAACGATGGTACAACAACGTTTATATGTTGCCTGTTCCTCAAAGCACCCTAAAAGACATCTCAAAAGGGGCAGTTTTATGGAATGATTTCAATAACGAGGAATGGTTGACATAAAGATGTCCTCTGTGTTCCAGGTGTGGAGTGCATCGTGGTGCTGCCAGAGCCGCGGAGCTACTGGGACCCGGTGTTCGGGACGTGTGTGTTCATGTTCTCCTTCCTGATCCCTGTGGCCATCATCAGCATCTGCTACAGCCTGATGGTCAAGCGTCTGCGCAGCGTCCGCATCCTCTCCGGCTCCAAGGAGAAGGACCGCAACCTGCGCCGCATCACTCGCATGGTTCTAGTGGTGGTGGCGGCCTTCGTGGTCTGCTGGACGCCCATCCAGATCATGGTCCTGGCTCAGTCTCTGGGCTTCAACCTGAGCAGCCTGTTCACGCTAGTGCTGATGCACTTCTGCATCGCTCTGGGATACGTCAACAGCAGCCTGAACCCCGTGCTCTACGCTTTCCTGGACGAGAACTTCAAACGCTGCTTCAGGGAGTTCTGCCACCCGTCACCCTTCCGCCTGGACACGCAGCAATCTGGCCGCATGAGGAGCATCGCGAGGGAAGTCGCCAACGCCTACAGCTGCAAGGGCGGAGACGGCTGTGGGCCTGGGGGAGGCACGCCGAACCCTGCATGACTAGGCGTGGAGCTGCCCTTGGTGGGAGTGGAGCCCCCTCAGAGGAGGGACACCCCCGGCACGGGCAACTCCAACACAGAGCTGACTCAGATCACCGCCCTCTAGCGGCACGAGCCCTCTCGCCCCCCCACGAGGAGACTGGCCTGGGGCGAGGGGGACCGCGACCACGATGGGCTAGAGCGGAAGAGGATCTAGGCCCAAAATGTCACCAGTATTACTATTACTACTACTATTGTAGGATCAGTGTGGTGTTCAAGGCCAAGTCTGTGTGTGGTTCTTTGAAACAGGACTGTGTTCAAAGGACAAAAGACAAACAGGAAAATCCAAACATATTTTTGCCTAAAATATTCATCCCACACAAATGGGAAAAAGTGACAAAGCCACTTAATAAAAGAAAATTACTCGGTGTAAGTATGTTGGTCCGTGCACATGTTGGATTCACCAATTCCTGGTTATATTTTGTACATATATACTGTATATGGTCTGTTTATGCTTCTGGACAAACTGAACTGATCAAAATCTGGCTTCACAAACTGAATTTATTCATTAAAGGATCAAACAATATTTATCGGATTAAAACCAATGGCATCAACTCCGTGATCCAGAAGATTCTTCTGTGTGAAACATGTAAAATAAAAAAAGCTTCTGAAAGACCGGACTTCTCTTGAGGATTGAAAGATATTTTTGTGACATGTATCAAGCTGCCGATACCAAACCGTTCCATTAAGACTATTTTTTGAGTTTGGATAAAAGAACAGCTATGGAGCTATATTTCCAACGAATGTAAGTCTGTGTGCCATGTGAAGCCCATTCTTGGACTAAAATGGGAAAAAAATATTTTGAACTGTTTAAGTGACCAAACTGGGTCAAATGAATGTTTTACTTAAATAGACAACAAATATTCCTATACTTTTTGACTTAAGAAAACTATATAAACTGTAAGAGGTTTTCTGAGGTACACAAGAAATAAGTCGGAAAAATATGAGACTTACTCAGAGTCTCACCACAATGTTGGCTATTTACGCAACAAAAAGTAAATTGTTTTGGAAAAGGCGATGGCTTTCTGCATTTGGAGCATCGGTTCAAACACTCTTTTCTTCTTGGAACTTTGCTGAAATCTTATGTATTTGGTCCAACACACAGAGATAAAAGGAATCATAGTGTGGTGCAGCATTAAAGAGGGGGTACTTCACATAAACAGAGTATTTCAGATCAGATCCAAAACCTACAGTTATGGACATTAATGTACCATTCGGTGGCCATTTTTCAGAGAATCGGAATGAGACCTTTTCGCTTGTCTCTTTCTTATCTCTCATTTCTTTAGTCCTATTCAAACCAAAGTCATTTTCTGTTGACATTAAATAGGCTTAACCCAGTTGTTTGGTCAGAAATGGCTTCATCCCACCACCCCAGTTTTGGTAATCGATTACCCCGTACCTGATTGAGGGAGGGGTACAACATTTCTAAAAATTATTCAACTTAAAACCTGTTAATTTTTTTGAGGATTTAGATAATTATTCAAGATTAAGTTAATTTACAGTAAAACCACTGTCAGGGTACAACTGCGCCAGGTGTTAAACTTGCTTATACAATGGCTAAAACCCTTAAAAACGCTTAAAATAGTAATAATAATCAAAGTCGCAAGCGCCATTGAAAGCCCTCGCCACTCTCACAGACACCTCGCGGGTGCCAGTCCCATAAGCGGTATGCAGTGTACTTGCTGAGGAATTCGCAGCCTGATAGGACCAGGATTATGCACGCAAAAGCTCATTGATAGTATCCAGTGCGCCCCTAGTGGCCACCTGTGGGACATGCACCCTCTGCATAATGTAGTATTTTGCTTGTAAAGATTTGACTGCGACTGTGGTGAGGATCGGAAAAGCTTAGGTCAGAAGCCAACCATAGGTGGCGCTCGAGAGTCATAGTGTGTGTGTATTTTCACACCATTATGTACAGGCCATAATCAAATCTTGGTGATTTGAGTTTCAGCTCTGTAGGTCTGAGGCTAAGTAAGTAATCTGAAGACTGTGAAGAATTTCTAACTTTTTCATATAACTCCAATTCGTCCAGAGGGAGACATTACATGGTAGACGTCTCTGCAATGAAAAACCTTGACCTAGATTGATCGCCTTGAACTGCCTTTTTGTTGGCGCTGTTGTACTCACAGTTGTGTGTTGCATATTGTTCAGTGCCATACGCTGTATTTGTGAGTCCATTTCTAACTTCATCGGACAAACACTGTGCTCCAAAAGCTGATTCAAAGAATTAAAAAAAGAATAATATCAAATCAACAAATAACAATAGCCCTCTAATAATAATACATTTTACTTCTTAGGAACATTTCTAGACACTCAAGGAGCTTACATATCAAGTAAAAATATGCTTACAGATGATTAAAATTCAAAGTTAAAATACTCAAACACATATCTATTGTGTCTACATTTTTAGCCACAAAGCCAGCATAATCTCCTTAGCAACAGTTGTCATGACCAAAATGTAGTCACTCACGCACACACAGAGGGGAAAAGGCTACGTTTGCCAGCATTTACCCCGGGATTTTAACAAAACAATAGATATTTAGATAGATATAGCAACTTGGTTCAAGTATATCTGAACAACAGACCTTTTCAGTATCTGTATTATACAATTGCAGTTAAAATGTTTCTAATGTTTTTAATGCTATAATGCAAGTGTGACCACTTTGGTGGAGTGATAGGTTTCTCACTGGTATACCGCTGGATACCCCTCTTTAACGCTCAACATCTAGCCTCTATGTACATCTTTCAGAATGTATTGGAGTAGATTCATATACTATGTATTTGTCATTCACATTCCAAAACCACATTGGAATATTTGTGCAAAAATACCCAGTGTATAGACAACAAAACACACGGAAAAAAAACAATTGTCACTGTGAAAGAAGAAGAGAAATCTATTAATGTTTAACAAAAGTGTGGTATGTTTGTGATTATAACAGAAGGATGGATAAGGATTGAACTGTTGTATCCAGTGTCTGTGCGGACTCACGCGGCAAAGGTGGGGTCATGCCGTTGACCCCACTCCAAGGGACAATGGGGCTCTTTAGATTCATGGTGTCTTAAAACGGAAGGCCGAATTCTTGAATAGAAATCACATAAGATCAATGTTAGAAAAGATTGAGTAGAAACGAGCGTCCGCTGCTTCTGACTCATGCTAACAGCCACCCCTATTGTTGCACTTGGTGTTCACAGAAGTCTCCCATCACAGTTCTGACTATGCACTGCCCTGCTTAACTCCTTAGATCAGGTGGGATTTTGTGCTACAATGTTATTGATCATATCATGAATTCTTGAAGTAAAAGTACCAGGCGAGGAACTAATAGAACATCAAAACACACAGAATTTAAACCTAGCATGGAGAGTTTGACCTTAATACGTTTTCCCATATCTTGTTGTTTTATAGTTCAAACCCAAACCCAGTCAAAATAATTAAATTACGTAATATTAATTTACATGACGTTAAAATATTCTGATAAATTGCTTTTATTCTGATTCTGTAAAAGAATAAATCTCAAAGCTCAAATCTTGAATCATTGTCTGGATGGGTCTCCTCAGGCAGTGTTCTTTCTCCTCTGAACTTTAAAAACAAAACTTATTGCAGTCTAGGTCAGAAGTGATGCTCAAATACAGTGGACTTCCCAATTAAGAGTCCATGTATATGTTTTTGTACTGTGGCAGGTCTGTGGTATCTCTGTTCAAGAATTTGGCCTTCTTTACGTATTAATCGATCATCTTTTTATTAAATTTGATCTTATGAAAAAATCATGTTATTGTGACTTTTAATGTTTTTTCCGATATCAACTCTTTCCTTTGTAATGATTCCACTCATTTAAACTGTAGTTTGTTCAGAATGATTTTTTTGTATGTGTGTATGTGTCTTTGAACATACAGTGCATTGCCTTAAAACTGTGCCGAGTGACGTGTATCCGAAGCTTGCTTTCCGGACGAAAAACAAACCTGTATTTTATTGGTGCTTTGATGTCATATACAAAAAGACAAGTGTATTAGATTGTGCTTTAAAAACAATGCGAATAAACGACTTTTAAACGGCCTCAATGCTAAATACTGAACCGTGAGAGAACAAACCAGGGCCAACCAAGCCTTCACCAGCAGAGGGAGGGATGGGAAGACTGATAATACTTCATTGATCCCCTGTAGAAGAAATTCAGGTGTCCAGTGGCGGTAAAAAAATCAAAACAAATCAAATAAATTGATTATTCCAAAAAGCTAACAATACAGTAATAATAACAAGCAACAGCACTTCAGGTCACAGCAGCAGAGGTGGTGGAGCTGCCTGGTTCAAACTATTTTCTCTGCTCTAGTCCAAAGAAAATTGCTGAATGCTGTGAAGTTATTCATATCGGCCAGTATCGATAATTAATTATATATTTTTTTTATTTAGAAGAAAAACCTAAATAAATACATTTGTCGTGTCGGCTAACACACGTTAGCAGCCCTTGTTTACAGTCACAGGGAAAGAGAACAAAGGCTCTAGGCATATGCTCACAAGCACACTGTCCCCCATTATCAGTCCTGGTTTAGTCCTGGTTTAGTCCTGGTTTAGTCCTGGTTTAGTCCTGGTTTAGTCCTGGTTTAGCTCCTGATTTGGCTGTTTTTGAGTGTCTTTTGTCCCCGTGACGGTTCCCGAGGAAAGTTCATCTCCTGCTAATGCCGCATGCATGGAGTCTCTGTACCCACAGACTCTGCCGCGCCGCACATGCTATTTGCACTATTGACACAGCATTGAAACACGATCCATGGTGCGGTTGTTGTTTTTGCATTTCCCAGAATGTTTTGCGGTTCATGCTCGGCTGTGATAGGTCGAGAAGTCTCTGCCTACATCCTCCAGAATGCCGCGCGCTTCTAACTCGGCTTTACTTTCTGTGTTTTCTTCCTGTTTTTTCAAACGGAATGAAGTTAAATTATCGAACATTCTATCAAAACCGTTTTCTATTGATATCAAACACGTGTCTATTGTTATATATATTGTTATCGTTTTATCGCCCAGGCCAATGTACAATGAAGACAGCATGGCATCTTTGTATTTATTCAAGAAACAAAAAGCAGGTGCTGCAGCTTTATTATGAGGCAAATATGGTCTGTACTTATTACAAGCGTTTATTTCCTTGGTTCAAAATGATTGCTGTTCTCTCATGGTTCATCGTTGGCGTGTGGCCTTTAAGAGAAACTGTAGCAGAAAATCAATGAAGACCAAAAGACGACACCGCAGCTCAGAGACGCTTCATGTGACGACGATGTTTATCCTGAAGAATCCGTGGCTTTCTGTAGCACTCAGAGCGGACTCAGAGCAGACTCAGAGCGGACTCAGAGCGGACTCAGAGCGGACTCAGAGCGGACTCAGAGCGGACTCAGAGCGGACTCAGAGCGGACTCAGAGCGTTCAGAGCGGACTCAGAGCGGACTCAGAGTGGACTCAGAGCGGACTCAGAGCGGACTCAGAGCGGACTCAGAGCGGACTCAGAGCGGACTCAGAGCGTTCAGAGCGGACTCAGAGCGGACTCAGAGCGGACTCAGAGCGGACTCAGAGCGGACTCAGAGCGGACTCAGAGCGGACTCAGAGCGTTCAGAGCGGACTCCGACAGCGGTAGCACTAGGATTCCCATTGAAATGACTTTAAGTACAATTATTAAGTTCAATTCAATAATTTATTGTCATTGTGACAAAATCAACGAGATAACATCTAGAGCATCACCGTGAAAAGCGTATAAAGGTCTTCAACTTTGGGACTTTTTCTGTGTCTATTTCATTATTTTGTATCAAATTATATTTTATTTTTGTCTTTTACTCCAAATTATCAAAAATGTAGCCATTTTTGGCCACTTCAAAATCAAAGTTCTATGGCAGTCAAAGCCAAAGTGCTGGTCCTGGCCTACCCTGGACTCCTGTACTGGTTCTGGACCAGTCCTGGGCTGGTCTTGGACTGGTCTTAGACTGCTCCTAGTCTGACTTTGGACTGGTCTGAGAGTGGTGCTGCACTGGACCTGGATTGATTATGTAGTGGCCCTGGCCTAGACTGATTCTGGACTGGACCTAGACTGGTCATGAACTGGTCCAAAATTGATCCTGGACCGGTCTTGGACTGGACCTAGACTGGTCTTGTACTGGACCTAAACTGGACTTGGACTGGTTCTGGTCTTAAAATGGTCCTGGACTAGTGTGGGACTATCCCTAGATTGTTCTTGGACTGGTCCTGGACTGGTCTTGGACTGGTCTTGGACTGCTCCTGGAGTTCTAGTAGCGTCAGAATCCTGGGAGTCCTAGTGTTTAGGGTCATTTCTTTGCGCTGTGTACAAACCTCATGTTGAGAATCCTCGATGATTTCCCAGTGTACAAACCCATACTGCTTTAACGTGTCGTACTCATGGAACAGTTTACATTTTCAGACCGTATGAATGTCGATGAAAAAACCATAATGGACTCAAACTGAAGAAAAAGTATCTAAAGTTGATGTTGTTTATATTTTCTGTGATGAGAAGCAGCTTCAGTGTTAATTTGTTGTGAGAGGTGCAGTACCTGTGCTACCACCGCCCGGCTGCAGCCGTCACAGCCAACGGTGACTCCAACGGTTCAGTGTACAGTAGGATTAAAGGAAAGTTTGTTTGTATAGCACAGTTCATACACAAGGCAACTCAAAGTGCTGAACAAAACAAGGTAGAAACAATCACACAATCTCTTAACATCATAAATAATCACAGTATATTAACACAAGCTCAAAATAAATGTTTTTAACCTGCATTTTAACATTGACAGAAGAAGATTGTCTTACATTTTCAGGAATGCTGAAATGCCGTCTCCCCATGTTTAGTCCTAACTCTGGGCACCAGAAGGAAGCCAGTCACTGTGCTCTCTGAGTTGGGTCATATGGCGCTAACATGATGTACTTTGGTGTCGTCCAACCAACTTCAGCTCCACCAACATAGACATGTTGTACCTTGTACCATGCTCAGAACCCCTGGAATCCATTCTGAGGGTTTGTAGTGGTGTTTTATTGCATCAGAAAATTCAAAATATGGCCCTAATCTAGAGAGTAAACACAAATGGTACTATCTACTTTCATTTTATGACTGGGCATTTGTTCCAATGCAAAAACAAGGTGGAAATTCCCCAGCGATAGAAGGCATCTGATTGGTCAATTCTTAGGGCTGATAATATCAAAATAAAAAGTAGCAACCCAATTTTAAGCCCAAAATGGTGTGTGTGACAGAAATAGTTTCTGTGCAAGTCAAAAGGAGCCAGAGCGAGTTGGAGCAAAAATGAGCTCATGAGCACTTCCCTTTTGGGCTACATTAAGTAGGCGGGTTAGCATTGTCTATCTATACTCATATTATGTAAAACTGAGGTCAGAAACAAACTGTTGGTGCCACGTAGCTGCAGCCGGAGCGGAATACTAAGGCTAAGCTAACCAGCCGAGCTAATGGCTTGTTCTCAACGCATAGCAAACGTTTGCTAATTTTCTGCTTGATTTTTAAATTGTGTTTTCTTTTTCTCAGCGTAAAGAATGAATAAATAAACTATTGGCATCATGGCTCTTTTCTTTCATTTAATTTTAGGTGAGATTAACCGCTAATTTTCTGGAGCAGTGTCCATAAAAACACTGAGGTTTATCTCTCAAGCTTTGATAGATAGATGATACAGTCCAGCAGCAGAAACACATCCATCCATGCAAACAAATGAATACATCATTCTAAAAGTTACTAACAATAGCAATAAAGTAAGTAAGGTTTTGACAATTGCTGAGAATATGGATGTGGAACAATTTTCCATTTTTCAAACACTCAATTCCAAGTGCAAGAACTGGTGAATACATTTCAACTGAAAGCTGTGCATTTTATAGGCAGTTGCTGAAGAGATTGTGAATTGTGAGTAAAATGTATTGAATTTTTAACCTGAGAAAGTTCAATTCCACCTCAATGCCTTTCTGTGTGGCGTTTGCATGCTCTCTTTGTGTCTGCTTAAAGGAATAGGCCACCGTTTTAGCATACTGACATATGCCTCTTCCACATTCTGTATAGTACCAAATCAGCTCCCGTTAGAAGCTACCAAACTCTTCCACGTGTTTCCTATTTAAATACAGTTACGTGACGTGTTACACTACAAAGTATAGTAACACAGAAATGTAACATGTCGATTTTCTCAGCGGATAAAAAGGGGTACTATATTGTGAGGCGTAATAATACGAGGAGCGCTATGTCCGCGCACTAACTCCCAAAGGCTTCACTCCCTCTCACTTCCGTCAATAGAAGCAGCGTGACTTGTTGGAGTTAGGGAACACGTGGAAGAGTTTGGTAGCTTCTAACGGGAGCTGATTTGGTACTATACAGTCTGTGGAAGAGGCTGCGTTTGTGCTCCGTTTGCATGACAGAGCGCACGGACAAAAGATCACACAGGTACATATCAACTAGTCTAAGGTAAGGTAAGAACATATGTCAGTATGTAAAAACGGTGGCCTATTCCTTTAAGGTTTCCTCTGGGTGCTCCCGTTTCCTCCCCCACTAGAAACATGTACAATAAGTCCTACACTTGCCTAATGTAGCAAGACCCCGCTCAGTTTTAGGCCCTGGCATGTGAAAGGCGCTTTATAATAATGAAAATAACTTTATTTGCAGACTCAAGGTCCAGATCAACACAGACAAGAAAAAAATAAAATAAACTATGTACTTACAGTACATATACAGTATAATAAGTGTTTCTCGTGACACACAGACCTGCAGCTTCAGTCTCAGCTCTCTTGAGAACCCTCCATCACTGACACACATCTGCTCTTCCTAGTTCACCTTTAAGTGCCTACACACATCCCCTTTAAGAGCCTACACACCTCTCCTTTAAGAGCTGACAGCCATCAGCTGGACTGACAGCGCTGACAAACAAAAGGCCTGAGAGTGCGGAGGTGGAGAGTGGGACACGCTTCTTTCATCTCTGCTCCATCAACTCTTCAAACACAGCAACTATCAAAGAGCCTACGTATAAGTTAGAAAAAGAAATACTATGCATCATTATCTATGCTGGGCTTGTTCGTTCAGAGTTTGAACATTAAATGTTCAAATTCACCGTGGGCATGAGTGCGGTGCTGGAGCCCAGAGGGACTCGAGTCAAAAATTGCTCAAATTTGCCAAAATGTATCTCAATTTCAGCGCATTCTGACTGCCTTAAAACAAGATTTGCCAATGGCAAAGCAAAATGATCTTGTTTTAGAAATGTCTCCCTTGGAATGAGTGAATAGTTGAAGATGAAAGGGCTTCGTCCCGTTGCCAAATCTTCTCTTTAAGACAGTCTTGATTTTAGTATTGTATATAAACTCATATTTTTTCATTGTTTGCAGTGAGAGTCCACTCCTCTGGTCATTCTACAGGAAATATGGATCTTTTAGGACACTTTTAATGTAAATTAATTAAAACTGAATTCGCTATTACAACAGTATTCAGAAGTCTGTGTTTCGGTTTTCTCAAGATCAAAGCCTTTCATAACTTTTGGCGCCGTGGCAGATTATGAGAGGAGCATCCTTGATTTGTTTGTACATAACCGTGTCTACGCTGCCAAAATTTGTCTTTTACCAACAATAAAATGTCTTCCGCTGTGCCGCAATCCCAGACCTCCACATCTTTTGTCATTATTTTCAGAAACATAAGATGTTTTTCCTGCTTAAAAAAAAACAAGCAAATAATTTGTTTTGTTTACATTCGTTCTGATTTGGTATAGCAATGGAAACTCATCAACTCATTCGAACTCGGTTGCAAATATCCTGGTTCCCGGTGTTGGCTGGCTGTTTTTTTGGGAGAATTTTACACCGCAAATCTGTTACTTTGAAAATAAATTAAATATTTGCCTCAGTCCTGGATCTACAGCCTCAGTCCTGGATCTACAGCCTCAGCCCTGGATCTACAGCCTCAGTTCTGGATCTACAGCCTCAGTCCTGGATCTACAGCCTCAGTCCTGGATCTACAGCCTCAGTTCTGGGTCTACAGCCTCAGTCTTGAAAGTTGTGTACTTTTTCAAACAAAAAAACCTGTTATAATGTGTCATTGATGTTGCTTCTTTAATAAAAGGTACCAGAGTAAACAGGATTATAGTTGTTGTTGATCTTCAAGTGTAGCGTGACTTCGAACTCTTGTTTTTATCAAAAGCTGTGATTAAACAGTTGCTAAGTGATCAGTCTCCCTGCGGTAGAGTTAAGTCCTTGACACAAGCTTCTAAAGCATGACAAATACGTGCGAAAAGGGAAACGCTGTGATCTGAAGACTCTTCTTGTTTGAGAGCACGAGGGAATAAGAGTAACAAAGCACTCTCTCAACCTGAAGATGGGTTGTTTGATCATTACCGGTGTTCTTTGTTACAATTTTGAGCCCTAACGGAGTCGATATACGCATGTTGAACGTTCCTGAAACCATGTATGGAGCCCTAGATCTACGGCCTCAGTCCTGGATCTAGAGCCTCGCGGGGTATTCAGACCGCTAACGCTTTAACGCAGCTTCCATGTGCACTGGACGCGCATTCACAAAATTTCGGCCGCGTGAATTATGTCCTGTCCTGCGTTGGCGCACGGCGGAAACCGGGCTTTGACTCGAACAGGGTTAAGCGAGCGCCTTTTTGTATATGTATATTACTTTATATAACAGCAGTATGTGTTCACGGAGCCGCACCATAAGTTCATTTTATTTTTAAACAATATAACACATTAGCAGCACATGTTTACAGTCACGGGTATAACTCAGGCTGGAGGCAAATGTTCACAAGCACGGTATCCCCCATTGTCAGTCCTGGTTTCCCACAGGGTTTTTTGCCGATGCTGAAGGGTTTAAGGACAGGGATGATCCAGGCATTTATGGACATTTATTAACATTTAGACCACTGGATTTGTGGAAATGTTGTTCAGATCAATGGCTCCATGTGTTATGTACCATTGCATTTCCTGTTTGTTTGAACCGTTTGATTTTCTGATCTGTTGTTGTTGGCGAATCTACAACTTTGTAAAGTCCTTTGAGACGACTGCTGTTGTGATTTAGGGCGAATCGGCGATACACAAATCAATGGAATTGAATCGACATACTTGTTGGTAAGAAAGTACAAATATTATCTCAAGTGTCCAACAGGGAATATGGTATAATGCGGTGTTACAATCCTGATGTATAGATTTAATATGAAACCAGACATTCTCGTATTATTTGTCAAAGCTAAAGATCTGCAGGTTCTCTATTCTTAAAATACGCCATCAAATACACATTTTACCTGCAGACCACCTTGACCTTTAGTTGTAGTTTTTCACAGATGCGATTGGCTCTGTTTGAGAGCGAGAGAGAGACTGGAGTCATCCCGAAGTGTTGGCCTTTCTGCAGAGAAGGTCAGAACACTAATGCAAATATCTCTGTGGTTCAAGGGCTCTTCATGGTCTAAAATGTGCATTTGCAGAGAAGAAATTATTCCCACTGGTATCTACTGTTATTGTGTCCTTGGGCAAATCACTTAACCACACTTTGCCTGAAGCCTGTGGTGCTCTGGGAAATGGATTAAAGGGAAGAAAATGGATGGATGGAGTATAAATGGCTTGAGTTTGAGACAACAGAAAAGCAGTACAATAGACATGTGTTGTAGATCCAGGACTGAGGCTGTAGATCCAGGACTGAGGCTGTAGATCCAGGACTGAGACTGTAGATCTAGGACTGAGGCTGTAATAATAATAATGATAATATTAATGATAATAATACATTGGTTTCAATATAGTGCTTTTCAGAAACTCAAAGATCCTTCACAATTCAAGACACACACACATACACATTCAGACAAACACGCAAAACAAAAAATCTAACAGCAGGAAAGAAGACTGGAAAGCTGAAACAAAGAGTTCTATGCTTGGAGGAAGAAGTGAGTTTTTAACAGATTTTTGAGAGATTTTAGTGAGTGAGTTTCGGAGGTTCGGGGGGAGAGAGTTCCAGAGAGAGGGAGCAGAGAGTGCTTGGATTTGACAGTGGGAGTGAGGAGATTTGAGTCTGCAGATTGGAGTCGACGGGAGGGACTGTAGAAGTTCAATGAGGTTCGGAGGGATGAGGGTATGGAGGGCTTTGTAGGTGATGGGGAGGATTTTGACAAGGATGTATAAGAAACTGTTGCAGAAGTCGAGTCTACAGGTCTGGAGTCCAAGATCCAGGACTGAGGCTTTAGAACAAGGAATGCAAAATGTGTGCATCTTTTATTACAACATTTTGTCCTCATGAATAACATCCCTGGAATGTTGCATCTACATGAGGAGGCAGCGTAGAGTCTTCCTGAAAATGTGAGACAGGCTTCTTCTCTGACAATGTTCAAATCCAGGGTAAAAACAGTTATTGTACTGAAGGGTTGTATCTTTACTATTTTTAATGCCTTTCAAATGCAAATAAGTGACTTCCATTGGTACAAGTGATAAGTATAATGTGCAGAGATGAGGTTGAATGAGGGTTTGTGGGAGTTTGTTTCCCAGTAGTTCTAACAGGATCCAGAGGAACTGAAAACATACTGTGGACT